GTGGAGAATTTCTCTAAATGTTGCCATGACTTCCCTGAGAATGGATATTGCTCCCCAGTTGAGAAAAATTATGTTACACAGGAATATGCAGTATTGCTTTTTAGATTCAAAATTCTAGGTATCAGAGCTGTATGTAAAATCAGAGTTTAGAAACAGCTCATAAACAGTGGGGATTTTGGAATCTGATAAACACAGTTTCTATAGTTCTCACTGTGTGATATTTGAATAACCTTTTGAGGATTTACTTTTTTAATCAAAAGTGGTAATACTACTATTATATTCAAAGTGTTATTCTAAAAGTTGAATGAGATAATGCATAGAAAATGGTAATTCGGTAAGTATTTAATATTATGCTGACTTTATTTCTTACTAGTAGCAATAATTTAAATAACATATGCTAATTTTTATTAAAACAGAGTAGTATTATTAGTTAAGTGAAACTAGTGTAGTAAGTGCTGTGCCCAGTTTTCTTGTTTTACTTATTTTACTTTATATTAGGCATTGTTAAACAAAATTAATTTTGGTATCCAGTTCCATAGCTTTAATAGGTACAATTTTAATAAAAGTTTTATCAAAGTTATTTACATTTTAAATAAATTACAACAAATATATTTTTCTCTAGAATTTCATTAGAAAGCTGTAGTTAAGGGTACAAAATTTGTTATGTAAAATGAGTGATTCAAGTGAGACCTAAGGTATGGCAGATTGAAGATAGTTAATACTCTATTAATAATACTCTATTATATATTTACAGTTTACTAACAGAATAGATTTTAAATCTCCTCAATATACACAAACAAATACACACAGTGTTAGCTGCTTAGAGGTAATAGATAAGGTAATTAGCTTATGATAATTATTTCACAATATATATGTATATGAAAACATCAAGTTTTACATTTTAATATGTCAATATGAAATAATTTATGTCAATGATATTTCAATAAAACTTAAAAATAGAAAGCTGTTGTGGACAGTATGTATGATGTTGAGGTTTTTCAAACTGCCATATAGTACCTTCAGTGCATAGTGAGGACTTGAACCCTGAATAAATCAACAGAATACATTCAGCCAATTCAAACTTCAAAGGGAGGAATAATGCATCTATTTTTTTTTTTGGTTGAAGTTTGCAGAAGAAAATTAAATTCAGAGCTTCTCAATGATTCTGTATTCCATGTCACAAACAAGGCATGGATAGAAGAGTCACGTACTTTTGGAAGAACTAAAAGAAAATGTAAGGTACTTCTTTTGTGCTGTTACAAATTGGATTTCTCTTTCTTCCCTTGAGAAGCCAGACTGAACAATAAAATACTCTTAAAGGAGGATTGCTGAACACCAAGGCCATGTGTTTGAAAGCCAAGTAGATGAAGAAAAGAGCTGTATGCTTGGCATTTTGAATCAATTATCAGTGAAATCCTATGATGCCATTCAGAATAGAGGCCCTTAAGTCAAGGTTTGCTTTCTAAGTATTCTCTGCTTTTAGTAGGTTTGGCCTTGAGCATTATAAAAGACTTATTTTTTTTTTTTTTTTCAAAATACAACTTTCTAACAGACAAAGAACAGAAAATGAGTACTAATTTTACTCTTAATATAGTCATAAGATACTTAGCTAAGTTGATTGGTGTTGGTAGGTTCAAGGCTAGGTTTTCATTGATTGTTTAGTCTTCTGTAGTAAAAAAGACACTCATACTTCTAATATCAGTTCAAACAAGTTTATGGGTGTAAAACATTACTATTTGTCTAGGATGAGGATGAAAAAAGCAGATATAATATATTGTGTGTGTGTGTGTGTGTGTGTATATATATATATATATATATATATATAATGTCATATACAAGATATTATTGAAAATATCAAATACAAGGTAATTTCAAATAATCCTCAACAATTCATAGATAATGAGCCATAAATAGAATCAACATTATTAAATATATCTGTCCTAGTAAAAGAGGGTATTTTATTTGTGGACAAGAAATATTTGAAATTATTTAAAAAATAATTTATTTGGGGTTTCTTAAATTTTACAACTTTTAACTAACACACTTGGATTTTTCCCCAGTTTTAACCAGAATCACTTTAAAAAAATCTTCCTATATAAAACCTATTTACAAATTTAGAGAGGAAGAAGGGGAGGGATTGGTTGTATGTGTACAGACATAACGAAATTGCAGGGACAACAGTTCACATCCAGGGAAGGACAAACGAGCTTTAGCATGGACAATGTTGTGTTTTAGCTTTTCATTCCATCATCTGCTGAGTATTCAGTGATCTCAGCACTGCTTTATCTTGAGCATGCTTGTACCTCAGAGACAGAAATGTCAGCTTCCTTAGAAATTCTGGTTGAGTTCTTTAATTTTATAGTATTTAAGAAAAGTCTGTTAATTTCAGGTTGTGAAAATCATATGTGTATATTTTTTCAAGTTAACTCATAATCTGGTTTAAGAAAATGCAACTAAGTAACCAAGGGTCCAAAATAAGATCATTTTGCTTGTTTATTTGTTTGATAATTTATATATTTTTTGACACTTTTAGCTGCTTTCCATAATCTGAGGAAATGTGTTTCTTTGATTAAAGACTGCAGAGCATACTCTCTCCCTTGTTTACATCCCTTAAAGTAGAATTGTTGGATTAAAGAGTGTACATTTTGATAGGTATAGTCAAACTGACCTCTCAAAAGGTTTCACTAGTTTTATATTCCCATGGCAGATTCTTTGTATTTTGTTTTCTGGCTTTAAATGTTCAAATAAAGATTGTGACCAATAAATTAATGATTGCATTTGAAAGTTTTTGTAAATACACACTGACAAAAGGTTGTGCCTATGTCCTTACCTCTCATTACACACTAAGTTTTTAAATCTTGCTGATATGATAGGCATATAATACTATCTCTTTCATTCTGAATAAACCTTAAAATCTGCACAAGTACCTACTCTGTACATTTGTTACGTCCTTTGTCCATTTATAGATGAATGTATTTTTGAGAAAAGCATTTAAAATTTACCTTACAAGTGGCTTGTTTGTAAATGAATTTTCAAATTTATAAACTCAGAATTACAAAATATATTGCCATGGTGATAGGAAAATTTTAGAGCTTGTCTGTTTTTGCCAATACATAATAGTAGAACTCACAATTACTGTGTCAGTGCCTAATACTTAATAATTGTTAAGCTATCAAATGAAATTAAGAAAAAATCAGTAGCCTTGTAAACAAATAAAACTTTATTAAAAATAATGAGATGCTAGTTTGTTGCTTGATGTGAATTAAAAAGACAAGGAAATTGAAGAGATAGAAGAGATGGGGATTAATGAAGTCTACCTGTATTATAAATAAATACTATTTGTGCGGTAGAATAATGTGACTTGTAATAACAAGTCATGAATGTTAAAAAGTTATGATTTCTGTCTTCCTAAGATGTTTTGTATATTAAAATAAATATTCATGAATAGGGAGTATCAGTTCAGGTTATCTATGTGAATGTAAATTTTCTTATAACTGGCCACTTAGTGTTCATTGGATCATGCTCTTGAATATGAATTCTCCAGTATCTCAGATGCACTGTGGATCTGACTCAGCTCATGAATATTCACACACACACAACTGATCTTTCTGAAAGTAATCACATCCATAAAGATGAAAATCTTGTTAGTTTTCAATAATGAGAACCACATCAGGATGCTGGTCCCAGAACAATGTTACAATTCCCTTGTTTTTGTTGTTTCCTTTCTTTCATTTTTGTAAATGACACAAACTTTAAAATATAAACACATATGCTATGCATCTTTCTTGACAAAAGATATTTTTTTCTTTTACCTTTGTAAAAGCTTGTGCATGATTTAACTGATTGCTTTGTTGGCTTTATTTTCTCTGGATGTAGGAAAGAATAAAGTAAAACAATGTCTCCCGTCCTTATCCTCAGCACATTTCCACTATTGAGGCTTGATTGGAGTTTCTAAATGAAGCATGGCCCAATCTGCTAACCTGCTGGAAGAATAATACATATTTTACATATAAAGACATGACCTTATATATGTGATCTTTTGTGTACAGGGAAAATTATATTCTATGCCAACTAAACTTTTAATATGTTAGTATGTGATGATCCCAGAGACCCATAATTACAAATTATATAGTATTTTCACTCACATCCCACATTCAAATGACTTTCATTGTAATGCATGATATACTTATAATACCTATCCAAGATTACTGAGAAGTTATTAAATAGGCATCAAAAGATGCCTGGTCCTTATTAGCCCCATATTATAATTAATTGAATAACCAGGAAAATAAAGGAGAAATCAAAACTATTGTTTATAAAGTTAGTAATAAAGTAACAACTAGTTCATATTTTCTAATACTGATGTGGTCAAACCTCTGAATGACATTTTCCTTTATAAAACTCTATGCCTTTTTGTTGTTTTGTAACTACAGTTAATAAGCAGTGTTCAATGAAAAAAAAAAAATTTTTAAACTCTGAAGGCTAATTTATGTTAGTATACCACAAGGCATCATCAGTAGTGAAGGGCTGAGGTCTTTAAACTGCAGAAGAACTTTGTAGGTGTCTTCCAACTTGTCTTGAGGATTAGAAGGAATATCACCTAGCCCTCCTGTTTTCTTTCTCAAGTGGGTAGAGCAGGGTAGTGCTCAGCCAAGAGCAGTGTTGCTTCCAGGGGTGATTTGACCACATCTGGAAGCCCTTTTGTTTGTCTCTTCAGAGAATGATGCTTCTATCCTATAGGCAGGGGCAAGAGATGCTGCTAAACATTCTACAGTGCATGAGTCATGCCTACAACAGAGATATCCAGTGTTAATGTCAGCAGGACCACTTCATATCACATTTTAACTGAAGAAATAATTCTGTCTAAAACTTAAGATAACCACTGATTTAGAAAAGTTTTACAGTAAAGCAATGAGAATGTGTAATATTTGTAAATAAATGAAGTCAGATTCAGTTTTTAATTATAAGTTTAAAAATCTATTTATTTATTTATTTTGTAGCAACTATAGTGTTAAATGAACTCAACTGGACAAGTGCCTTAGATGAAGTTTTCAAAAAAAATCGGGAGGAAGACCCTTCATTGCTGTGGCAGGTGTTTGGCAGTGCTACAGGCCTGGCCCGATATTATCCAGGTAAGTGCTTAGTGATTCAGTCAGATGAAATTGTAAGTATCTCCTTCAACATTTCTTGTGAACACTGTTACCTTCTCCTATATTGATATCCCACCAGTTTTATAAAACAACAAAAAAATTATCTTCACATAGCTCTAAATTGTTTTACATGATTCTAAGTTAATCAAAAATCATTTTGAAATGAAGCACCTCTGAGAAATGACTGTAGCACTTGGTACCTGGGCTGGGTCAGGCTGCAGAGAGACCATGAAGAGGTATTCTTACGTCTGTACCTGGCACAGGAGGCTACCATGAATCCTTAAATAAGAGGTAGGAATCCAAATGCTTAGCATAGATCTGTCAGTCACATTAAAGATAATGAATAGACTTTTTAGACACTATTTGAATATCTCTTTCCAGGTTTTTGGTCTACACTTGAAATTTCATAACAATAGTGTTAGTATTTGTCTTGAATCAGTGAATTTGTGAATATGAAGAAGAAATAAGATAAAATCACAAGGAAAACAGAGCTCTCTTATGTGTCAGTTTGTATTAATTTTGAAGGCATCTCAAGTACATAATCATATGTACTTGGTGAAGATATGAATGTGTTTTATAAATTAAAATGAAAAATAAACCCCATCTTATAATGTTCTTTATTTTTATAATGGAGGGTAAGAAGAAATAAATGGCACTTCCTATAACAAAATAAAAAATTAATAACTCGTATGTCCTGAGAGCCTTTGAAAACACTTTAAGTGAAATATCTGTTGTTATTTTTAACTTCGTCACCTTTAGAAGAGCTGACAAACACAAAATGCCATTTCTTTCTCCAAGGCATGACTTGAATTATCAAAGAGATACTAGAGAATGTGGTATTCAATGGCCACAATATGACTTTAAATAGAATTATTTTTAAGACATGAGTTTTTAAAAACATGTTTAGCAAATTGAATTATTCATAGTAAATAGTGACAGTAAAAAAGTAACTTAGTAGTAAAAAGGAATGAATAAAAAATTAAACTATATATAAATTTGTATTATGATAAAAATAAATAATAGTATAGACTTAATTCTCAAATTAGTTAAAAACGTTATAATGCCTGCATGGTTACAAATGCCAGATCATAGGACTGATAATAAATCTTTATTTTGGAAATCCAGAGCACCTGGAAAGGCCAAGTTTGTATTTGATATTGAAAAAATGAATTATCATAAAACATTAATGTTAATACTTGATATGGGAAAATTATCACCTAGGTTTTTATCCTAATTGAATTTTCCATTACACAAATAATTTTTTACTCTAGTAAAATACTTCTAAAACTCTTAAGTACTTTTACTAACATGTCAAATACTATATATCACAAGATTGTGAATTTTAGTCTATAAGATCATATCAAGGAAAAAAGCAACAGTACTCATGCACATAATAAACCTGACATAATAATCCTTTAAATTACATTAGGTTTTATAAAGCATTTTCAAGTACAATTTTAAAATATAGGAATTAGATACTTGATGTTCTATCTAATAATACACAAATATGAGAATGTTTTTAATCATAACAGAATTATGTAGTTTTTAAATATTTTAAAAATATTACCTTTGTATAAAATTCCATATATAATAAGTTGAGGGAAAAGGAGGAAAAAGAAAAGTGAGAGAAAATTTGGATAATAATGAAAAAACAAGAGTTTAGGATCACAGAGAAATGGATGATGCAGAGAAAGAGAGACAACAAAGTGTTACTAGAGGGAGAGGCTGAAGAGAGGCAAGAAAGAGTACCTGTGAACATGGGGAGAGAGCCAGAGGTGCAAGGAAAGATAGGTTCTCTAATGAATCCTGCAAGGTGGGTAATTTTACAAACAGCAGCTAACTTTCAAACTTACAAATATCATATTCAATAATTCTTTCATTTTAAAAACTAAGTGAGAGATGAAGTCTTTGTTTTTTTCTTTTTCTTTTTTTTTTTAACCCTAATAGGTATTTTCAAATGTGCTGACATTTGTTCTTTTCATCTTGAGAAGGATCATTAGATGTTTAATTTGGCTGAATCTATGTCGTCCTCTGGGGCATTCGCTGTGAAAGCAATCCTGTGCCCAATATGTAGTTTTTAAGTCAGGGTTTGTCAGATAAATCAACTCACCAGAAGACTGTCAGGCTTGGCTCATTGACTTGCTGGAGGAAGTTTTTAAAATGGCTCTCTTGACTGCTATGGAAAACGTTTCATGCAGTTCCAACTGTTTTAGTGATTCTGTTGCTGAGTTGCTCTTTATGATGATAATGACACAATAGAACCAACCTATTTTATTAAAAGCACTAAGACAATGTTATAATTTTAAAAGCAGAAAAACCTGCTTATACCACATCATATTTTCAGTATACTTAACACTTTAAACATGTTTAAAATACTTTTTTAAATGAAGTTATTTTTTTTTAAATTTCTTAATAGACAATCCTTCCTTTTCTTATCATTTTGATGTAAGCCAAACTAATGTAAAGTGGCTCATTCCTGTTTGTCTCTTGATTCAAAGGTTAGAAACACCCTATTAATATCATCTGTTATGTTAATGATGAACAGAATACAGAGTATGCTCCTTAGTTGAATTTTCATATATGAGACTTAGCCTTCCAGGAAGGATGTCCCTATTAGCTGGATAGACCTCCTGAACTTTGAGTTTTAATCATCATATCTGAAAAACAGGGGCCTAAATAACGTCTTGGTTTAACTTCTGGAGGTGTCATGATCAATTAGATAATATGACAAGAAATACTTTGATAACGCAATTCAGACATTTCTGCAGCAGTGCTTATCAACTATAATAATTTACCTATATCCAGCCCACTCTCCATCTAAACCATTAAGAGACATTATCAAGGTAACAAACATTTGAGTTGGAAGCTGACATAGACATATTGAAGGAGATCTAAACATGACAGTGACAACGTAGAGGAGTTGGCCTATCACTTTAGCTGGGTCAGTTTTCCGTAGGGTTGCCAGAAAAAATAATGGATGCCCAGTTAAATTTAAATTTCAGGTAAACAGCAAAGAAATATTTAGTGTAAGTATGTTTTATGCAATATTTGGAACATATTTTTAGGAAAAAGTTTTTTTGTTGTTGTTCATTTTGAAATTTAAACCTAACTGGTTGTCATATACTACTTACTTCTAAATCTGTCAAAGCTGTCTACTTCACAAAATTGTTCTGAGGGTCAAACAAAATTTATTTCCTACATTCACTCAAATGCAGAATATTATAATACTCTTTCTCTAATTCTGTAAGGTACCCATTTTTATTTTCCCGAGGCTTCTTGCCACAGAGTAATAAAAATAATTTTTTTTTTTAGAAACTAGTATCCTCTGATTCACAACATTCTAAATATATCCTTGTTCATTAAGATTCCAGTTACTGAACAGCCACATACTGTTGGAGTAAAGCAAACATTTTCCAGAACCAGAGAGCAAGTTTACAAATTCTTCTTTCCACACTAGACGTGGTAGTGACCTTCAGAAGACCATCAGAAGAAAACAAGGAGGACCATCATAGTTGAATTATACAATTATTAGGAGACTAAAAAGCATTAAATATCTTTGTCATCCTATTGCCTGGATATAGGGAACATTTGGGTATGATCAGCTACCCTCATGGTTTTAGTTTATCAGATTATTTAAAACACGTGGAAACACTAGCTTCCAACAAGGAGGTTACTAGAGCTGACAGGATCGGAGCTGATTGTGAGAAGTAGTTTGTTTAGTTAGTAGTGGAAATTTGACTCAGGCATCTCTTTCTGGACTGAACATTTACCTGCTTTCTAAACTCCTGGTGTATTTGAAAATAAGCTTTGGAAATCACTGCTCACTCTCCTTTTGCTTCTCCCTTCTTACATTTTTTATCCCCACCCCCTTCTTTCTTTTGTCCCATTTGGAATATAGGTCACTTGTGTGTAATGATAAAAGGAGGGGAAGTTCTTGATTCATCTGAATACTGCCTTCATCATCATTTTATACTTTGGCTAATGCATGTTATGCTTTTGTATGTATTTCTTCACCAGTCACTTGGGATGCCGAGCAAGATGATGTTAACATCATCTGCTGTTTGTCCAGGCCTGTAGCATTTTCTAAGTTCACAGTGCTTGTTCTGCAGGAAGACTAGAGTAACTTGCCCCAGTCACAGAGCTCTTGGCATAGATGAAACTGAATCTTGAAATGATTTCAGAATCCAATAATGCTTACCAGAGGCTGGCAAAGTAGGGGTGAGGAGAAGATAGGGAAAGATTGGTCAAGAGTTGCAAAATTACAGTTAGACAGTAGGAATAAATTCTGCTGTACTACAGGAGGGTGACTATAATTTTAAATATTGTGGTGTGTATTTCAGTAACTAGAAGAGAGGATTCTAAATGTTGTCACTAAAAAGAAATGATAAATCCAACGTCTACATGTGTCAAAACTTCATCCTGTACCCTAATAATGTATAATTTTGATGTATTAATTAAAAACAAAATTTAAAAAGTAGCTAGAACCCATGTCTAATGATATCTTCATTGAATATAGCTTTTTAGAAAATTAGTTTGATTTGTGGGTTCTTTCCTTTGGAGGTCTTAGTTTACATATATTAACTTCAGAGCTGTTAAAACTATTTTCATAGGTTTCAACTATGTGAATTCTTATGCATTATCCAAAACTGTAAGTACAAACTACTCATTTCACCTATTAGGGTCTCCTGAAATTGTAACAATTACTGCAGTAATTAGAATTGTAATTAAGAATCGGTGGCTCATTGAAATGCCAATGTAGGCAACACTTACCCTGTTTAGATAATTAGCTGCATTTACAAAGAAAAAAAAAAATAGAAAAAAATCAGTTTTATCTGCCTTATGATATTAATCTTATTGATAATGATTAATAATCTTAAATCTAATTACTAATTCATTTTTTCTTTACCTCATTTGTTTATTTTAAAACCATGAGATTACAACTAAAGGTAGCTAATATGTGTTGCATCAGTGTTTAATAGATC